GGCCGCGTGCAAGGCAAATGCCCTACCCGCTGTGCTATTGCTCCAGCCCCACTGCAGAAGTTTCTTATGCAAAATGTCCTTGAAACAGACCCGACTCTAAGAATGAAGGTTTAATCTTAGGAGGAGTGTGTGTGTGTGTGTGAGAGATGTGTCTGTGTGAGAGTATGTGTGCGTGTGTGAGTGTATGTATGTGAGTGTGTGAGTATGTGTGAGTGTGTGAGTGTGTGTCTGTGTAAGAGTGTGTGAGTGTGTCTGTGTGTATGTATGTGTCTGTGTGTGTGTAGTGTATGCATCTGTGTATCTGTGTGTGTGAGAGTATGTGTGAGTATGTGTATGTGTGTGTGAGTGTGTGTATCTGTGTGATTGTGTGTGTGTGTGTATGACACATGTGTAAATGTATGCTTGCTCCAGAAGTTTTTTAGACAAGGTGGACCTGAAAGCCTCACACATGGGCTAAAGGATAATGGAAGCCTTCACACCTGTCAGCTGTTAGTCCTGCTGAGAGCCCCCCAGCCCCCTTTGCTCCCAAGAGTGTTCTGCAGACTGCACATGCTGGTTCTGAGTGGCTGTGGGGGAGGGGGGAGCCCAGTGGTGGTGGGATCAAACCCTGAGTGGCTCTGCTCCTGGGGCTAGGAAGGGCTTGGTCACCCACCTCACAGCACATTTTGTCCTGCAGGGGCCTGGTGTCTTTCCTGGCCACCACTGGGCTCCCCATGTACTCCGTCCCCTCCCCCACGGCCACTCAGCAGATTGCCAGACAGCCAGTCAAAGGAGCCAGTGTAACCTGCCCCAAAGGGTCCAGTTGCTGGCCTTACTGTCCTCCATTCTGATGTACCCCCAAATAGCATCACTCTTTCTTGGTGCAATCATGACTGAAATAGTTAACAAGGTGACTTCTTCCAAGGAGCAGACCTCAGGTGCCCCAAACCACAGGCCTCATACCGGTCTGGTTTAACTTAGCTTTCTTCAGTTTTGTATTTGGGTCAGACCCAGGGATGCTCAGGGCTTAGTCCTGACTCCGCGCTCAGGGACCACTCCTGGTGGGCTCTGGGAATCATGCAGGATGCTGGGGAGCAAATCCAAGTCATCATCAGGCACAGCAAGTGTTATGACCACTGTACTATCTCTCTGGCCCTTACAATTAAACTGTTTGTGCGACACTCAGGGTTTGATCTCTGGCACCAACACACACACTCACACACACACACACACACACACACACACACACTTACATGAAGTTTCCCACAAGGGTGGAAGCCACAGTTACCTTCACCGAGTATAAATCACTACAACTAAATTCAGGAACTAATTGGTTGTGAACAGTAATGCTGAAAGGATGACTTCCTGGCACCTCCACTCCCAGCAGAGGTGACTGCATGTACATGCAGCTGAAAGACAGAATATTTTTATGCCTTAGAATATTTCTTCCGACGCAAGTGTGCTCGACCCACTGAAAGCACACCTGCATGGGCAGCCTGCACATGTCTTGCTATGGGGATCAGAGAGACAGTACAGGGATTGTGCAATTACCTTGCATGCAACTGAGCAGATCTCCAACACTGCACAGTATCCCCGGCACCTGTAGGAGTAATCCCAAACACAGAGTCAGGAGTGGCCCAAAACACACTCCCAAAAAGCAAAAAAGAAAAATCTTGTCACAAATTTGTCTGTAGAGAATAGCACAGATTTGGTGTTGTTGTGGTTTTGGGGTCACACTCGACAGGGCTTAGAGCTTATTCCTGGCTCTGCACTCAGGGATCACTCTTGGCTGTCTCAGGTGACCATAGGGGTGCCAGGGAATGAACTCCAGGTAGCTAAGAACAAGGCAAGTGCCCTCCCTGCTGTGCTTATTTCTATAGCCTCATTTCCAGCGACTTGAGTCGCTTTTAAAATATCTTATGTCGTATTCCATGTGCACCAAGGAGGAAAACGGGCTGGAGAGATAGTGAAAAGGGCTGGAGCTTATGTTCCACACGTAGGAGCTCTGGGTTCAATCCCCAGCACCTTGTTGTCCCCTAAGAATATCCCCTGGGCACAACTGCATGTGGTACACAATAAAAATTTAAAAAAGATGAAAAAAAAAAGGAAAAGAAGAAAGACATTTTTTAGGGCCACATGAATAGCTCAAAGGTTGGTGTTCATGCTTTGCTTGCAGGAGGCCCAGGTTTGATCCCTGGCACTTCACGACCCCGAAGAACCACACCCTAAACATCGTCAAGCTCTGTGTGTCCCCCCCAAAATAAAAAAAGACAATTTCTTCAGATACCCCAAGAAGAACTGAGTTCCTTTCCACCTACCAAATGATGCTTTAAAGTCATTAAAGCCAGGGAGTAAAAAAGTTACAAATGTCCAACACTAGGGGGCGTCAAAGAACAGCTAATAGAGCCAAACCTTCCCGCCGCGGTGCCTTGAGACTTCCCCAGCCTGGATTCCTTTACTCCGACAAGACAAAACCCAACCAAAACAAAGCAAAAAAAAAAAAAAAAAAAAAAACCACAAAAACAATCCATTTTGTGGTTCTTTGTCTCTCCATAGGCTCCACTTCAACTCGGCTCCAAATATAGGAACCAAATTCTGGTTAAGATAGGTTTGAATGCTATCTGCAAAGTATTGCTCTCTGCTATATAGCTAAAGTATTGCCATCTGCTATTTGCTATCTGCAAAATATTATCCAACACAATATTTTGGGGGGTGGCTTTGGAGCGATAGTACACAGGTAGGGCGCTTACCTTGCACTCACTGACCCAGGTTCAATCCCTAGCATCCCATATGGTTCCCCAAACACTGCCAGTAGTGATTCCTGAGTGCTGAGCCAGAAGGAACCCCTGGTCATTGCCAGGTACGGTTCCAAAACCAGAAAAGAAAATATACATTTTTTTGTTTATGCATGCATATATAAATAAGCAATTTTTTTTAGGAACCAGAGAAATAGTAAGGTCCTCGCCTCACATAGCGACCCTGACTGGGTTCCTGGCACTGCATGCCCCCGAGATGGGAGAACCCCAGAACACTGCTGAAACACATGTTTTGCATGCAAGCAGCTGGGTTCCACCCCCAGCACTACATGATGGGTTTTGTTTGTTTATTTTTAATTTTTATTTATTGCTTTTTGGGTCACACCTGGTGATGCACAGGGGTTCCTCCTGGCTCTGCACTCAGGAATTATCCCTGGTGGTGCTCAGGGGACCATATGGGATGCTGGGAATTGAACCCAGGTCGACTGCATACAAGGCAAATGCCCTACCCATTCTGCTGTTGCTCCATCCCCATGTTTGTTTTGTTTTTGTGCCACACCTGGCAACATTTAGGGGTTACTCCTGGCTTTGCACTCAGGCATTAATCCTGGTAGTGCTCAGGGGGCCTTGTGGGATGCCGGGGATCAAACTCAGGTCAGCCATGTGCAAGGCAAATGCCCTCCCTGCTGTACTATTTCTATGGCCCCTCCTCTAATACCTGTTAACCAGAGTTTCATCCTTTTATTTTATTTATTTTTTTAAAATCCCCCTCATCATGGTTTCAGTTCAATTCCAGAATAGTGTGCTCCAGGTGTGGCTCAAGTGACAGAGGGAGGCCCTGGGCTGAATTGCCAGTGTCAGTCAGATGGCACCGCATCCCCAGTGCTGCTGATAAGGCCTCACAATAATAAAATGTTTTTGTCGAGTGCTTGTTACATAACAAAAATCTGTTAGTGTTCTAGGTTATAAACATATTTTTTTGGGGGGGGGGGAAGAAGGGGTGGTGTGCTTTGGAATCACACTTGTGTTTGGGCAGCCTCCCTGGCTCTGTGTGAGGGACCAGGCAGTGCCAGGGATTGAACCTGGGCCTTCTGCACACAATCCAAAAAAATTGAAATTGCGTGGGGCTCCCACAAGCACCACAAGTAAGACTGGACAGCACCCCTCCCCTCTGTCATCAAAGGCAAAGGGAAATCAGAAATAAAAAAATAAAGATGGATGCCTCTCAAGGATGTCATGATCCTTAAAGTTTTTGTTTCAGTGTGCATTTTTCATTTTCTAGGTTTTGGGCATTGCTCAGGACTTATTTCTGGCTCTGCATTCAGGGATCTCCCTGGCAGGGCTCAGGGGACCATATGGGGTGCCAGGGATTGAACCTGGGTAGTCATTGTACAAGGCAAATCTCCTACCCATTGTATTATTGCTCCAGCTCTCTCTCCCCCCCCCCCCCCATGATTTAAATTATTACTGAAGTAACAGAGTTTACAATCATGTTGCAGATTATGTTTTTGGCACACAAAGTTGCCACAGAACCACCACGATTACCAAAGTGCCCAGGGGATGTTATAATCTTCTGGGGATGAGAAACAGGTCAGAGGTGGGCATAATACATAAACCAAGTCCCAGCCCTTCGAGGTCCTTCCTTCCCCTGGCTGGGTAGCAGCTAGGGTGTCCTGACTCACCCCCCAACCTCATTTCACTCTACTTTCACTCCCATGAGCTCACCTACCAGGCAGGTTTTTGTTTGTTTGCTTTTGTGTTTTAGAAAATGAGGTCGGGGAAAGGACTCTCCTCAGTGCTCAGGGGCCAGGTGGTGCTGGGGGTGGCCCCGGGCGCCTGCATGCAGAGGCAGGAGCTCCTGCTCGAAGCTGTGCAGTTACTAGCCGGCTGAACCAGCTCTCTCTCCAGCAGCCTGAGTCCTGCCTCGCCTTGACAGTCTTTCCTTCTCCATCCAGACTTTCCAGCTAATCTCTGAGTCAGGGCAGACAGCTTCCTTGCTCAAACAGCCCCATGCTTTCCTTCCCTCACACCTGCACACAGTGTTCCTGGAGCCCCGCCTTGTTCCTGCCTTCCAGACAGACTCCTCATGGCCTTCCTGCAGGTCCGCCTCTTCTTCCCTTCCTCCTGGGCTCAGGGTGCTGCTCCTGCCGCTGCCTGTCACAGAGGGACCCGGTCTTGATCGTGGGTAAGAACTATCTAGTTTGCCCTTTTCATTTGTTCTCTTGCCTTGTAGACAGTCAACAGATGTTTCTTGAAATGCATCCAGAAATTTTGTTTTAGTACCCATACCCTGCGTGTCATCCTTGCGCAGGGGTCATGCTAATCTCTGTATTGTTCCGATTTTAGTATATCTGCTGCCGAAGTGAGCACAGCACAGCGGGTTGGAGCGATAGCATAGTGGGTAGGGCTTTTTTTTTTTTTTGCCTTGCACGCGGCGGCTGACCCGGGTTCGATTCCTCCATCCCTCTTGGAGAGCCCGGCAAGCTACCAAGAGTATCCTACCCGCACAGCAGAGCCTGGCAAGCTACCATGACGTATTCGATATGCCAAAAACAGTAACAGCAAGTCTCACAATGGAGACGTTACTGGTGCCCGCTTGAGCAAAATAGGTGAACAATGGAAGGACAGTGCTACAGTGCTACTCATACCCTGACATGTTAGTTTTGGCTGTTGTTACTGTCCCCCCTCGCTCCCCCCCGGGCAGGTGGGTTACACCCAAAGGTTCTACTCACAGCTTACTGCTTGGGAAAGTCAAAGCTGGGGACCCTGAATGCAGTTTTCATCTGTGTGATATTAAGGTTTTTTTTTTAATATGTTGTCACAGTGCTTGTAATTAAACCACATTCTAGTGTGGGGGATAGTAGTGTCGACCACCCCTGTTGTTTTCATAGTGAAAACAGGGACCATAACACCACCCACCTTGGGGTTACCACCAGATGAAATAAGAAGATGCACTTAGACTGTGCAGCCCTCTTGGCATAAGAGGATCTAGGACTTATCAGAGAAGGAAGAGATCCACAGAAACAGGAAGGACAGTGGAGGACTTCCTGGAGGAGGTGAGCTGGGATCTGAATACAGATAAAAGAGAACTAACTGAAATAAAGACTCAAGCAGAAACAGGAAGGTGAGAGAGATCGTACAGTGGGTATGGTGCTTGTCTTGCATGTTGCCCACCCAGCTTCTATCTCCAGCATCATATGTGATTCTGAGCATGGCCAAAAGTGATCCCTGGGCACAGAGCCAGAAGTAAGCCTTCAGCATCATTGGGTATGGTTTCCAAACAAACAAACAAACAACAAACAAACAAAAAGCAATAGGAATAAGAAGGTTAAGCAGAGGATAAGGGTAGTCACGAAATGGGAGGACTGAAGTGAAAGTATAGTGGGGAGGACACTTGCCTTGCGTGCAGTTGTCCCAGGTTTGACCCCTGGCTCCCCCATATGATCTCTTGAGCACTACCAGGTGTGATCCCTGAGCACAGAGCCAGGAGTAAGCCCTGAACATCACCAGCTGTGGCCCAAACCTCCTTATCTCCCAAGAAAAGGAAAGAAATGAGAAAAGAAAATGATGTCTTTTTTTTTTTTATGTGGCAAAACACTGGAGCATTTGCATTGCATGTACGAGGCCCTGGATTCCATCGCTGGCACCTGAAACAAATGGAAAAAAAAAAAACATAATGAGAAACTCCTGAGCAAAGAAAGACACCTGAGTAACTTTTCCAAGAGAATGAAATGCATCTCTACTGGTTTGGTCTCATCAGCTCTGCCACTTTCAACCTAGACACAGATGGAGAAGTGTGGCCAGTGTGATGAAGGACATTTATTGCTAACAAGTTGTGGTAAGGGGTGGAAATAAAATGATAGCTGGAAACGAATTTTTTTTTCTTTTTGGGTCATACCCGGCGATGCTCAGGGGTTACTCCTGGCTCATGCACTCAGGAATTGCTTCTGGCGGTGCTCCGGGGACCATATGGGATGCTGGGAATCGAACCTGTGTCGGCCATGTTGGCTGCGTGCAAGGCAAATACCCTACCCGCTGTGCTATCGCTCCAGCCCCTGGAAACGAATTATTAATAGGTTTGAGAATACAAGTCTGCATTTGTGTTAAGAGTATTAGTTATACCAGTACAGAAAAAAGGTAAAAGGTAAAGGCCCTCCCGTTGATCATCGATTTGCTCGAGCGGGCCCAGTAACGTCTCCATTGGAGACTTTGTTGTTACTGTGTCTGGCATATCGAATACTCTCGGTAGCTTGCCGGGCTCTCCGAGAGGGGCGGAGGAATCGAACTCGGGTCGGCCATGTTGGCCGCTTGTAAGGCAAACGCCCTACCGCTGTGCTATCGCTCCAGTACAGAAAACAACTGAATTTGGTTTAATACCAGTTTGGTGGTGGTGGTGGTGGTGGTGGTGGGGTGAAGCTTGAAAGGAAGGAGGGTGGGAGAATGGGTTGTAGAGTCAGTTTTGAGGGTCAGGGCAGCCTCTGAGTTTGCTGATTCAATTGTCTGTATTAGTGTTGAGGAAGACTGAGGCCTCCTGCGCTTCTGAGGGGTGGGGGGGGTCCCTTATGTAGTGACGCTTTGTTTGGAAGAAAAAGAAGCCCCACTGGGAGGGGAATGCATTGGCCCAGAGGGGCAGATTTCTGTGGTGTTCCTTCCAGATGGCGCATCTATCCTCAGCTGCTGTGAGTGTGGACAGTTAAGGGTTTCCAGATGCCAGAAATTCCAGAGAAATGCCCTCAGCTGAAAGGAGCAGCTCTGAGGACCTTAACTTCCTCACAGTCCAAAGCTAATGACTGACTGATAGATAACTGGGGTGGGGGTGGGGCGGGGAAATAACTGTCCATTGTGTGTGTGTGTGTGTGTGTGTGTGTGTTGTCTGTGTGTTTGTCTCCAGAGAGTTCCTGTCAATCAGGTCAAAGCAAGACAAATGCCATTCATGGGATCTTTCTTACAACCTTTTTCTAAGAACTCTGACCTAGGATGCCTAAGAAATAAAAATAACGTTTGATCAAGGGCAAAACTTAGTGGTAAAGTGAATGCTTAGCATGCAGGAGACCTGAATTCAATCCCTTTATAATTTAGTAAATAAATAAACGAACTGATAGTTCTGTCTCGTGTCTGCCTTGTCAGATTTAGGTGAATTATTGGACAGTTCAGCAGCCCCAGTGCAAAAGAGAACTTGTCTCAGAAGTTCCAGCAAAGGGTCCCAGAACTCATTCTGATTGGACTGCCTGGGGTCACATGCCTCTCCCTTAACCAGTCATGACGAATGGTGTATGTGATGGCTGAGGAGCAGTGCTTTGATTGGCCAGGACTGGTCTGCATGTTCACACCCCACCCAACCCCACCCAATGGCGAGTAGCTAAAGCCATCCTGGTGGCAGCCAAGTGCAGAGTGGGGAGAAGGGATTCTCCAGAGAAAGTCAGAGCCCCGGGCCAGAAGAAAGATAATGTTTGCAGGAAAAGAGAGCAATAATCCACATCACCTGCACATCCAGACAAACTCGAGAATGTTATTAGACTAGTCGATGGCGAAGAGAAAGGCACTTTATCCTCACTTGTTTTGGGAGATGCTTAGAGAATGTGGGAAAGGGCTGGTTGTTATCTGCAAGTATTTGGAATGTTGCCCTGCTGGGGTATTGTGTGAAGCTTTAGGGGGTATCATTAGGATGGAGAGGCAGAGATCAGAGGGAGGCAGATTACCCACTAGAGCTAGATATGGGACTTGAGAGATAGTGCAGGGGTTAAGGCACCACAGTGATCCCTGAGCATTGCAGGATGTAGCCCCCCACAAAGAAGAACAACCCCCTAACAGATGTAAACACTTTATGTGGTATGTATACACAAATAATTAAGTGGTCAGAAAAAAAAAAGAAGTGGGGCTGGAGTGATAGTACAGAGGATAGGGCGTTTGCTTTGCATGCGACCAACCCGGGTTCGATTCCCAGCATCCCATAGGGTCCCCTGAGCACCGCCAGGAGTAATTCCTGAGTGCATGAGCCAGAAGTAAACCCTGAGCATCGCGGGGTGTGACCCAAAAAGAAAAAAAAAAGGAGTTCGGGCTTTTCGGGGAGGCGGGAAGGGGTGAGGGGGAACCCAGACCCCCAGTCCTGGGCCCCCTCTCGCTTGGCTTTCTTCCAGGGCGGTGTCTAGGGGGCGCTCTTTGGAATGGCCCAAGCCAGTCTGGTCTGGAGACCCGGTCACACCCCAGCTCCTCCAACCCGGAGCACTTTCTCCTCTGCAGCCTCGGGTTAGTCATGGCACGGAGCAACGGGCTGCTTAGCTGAAGTCACCCTTCAGCGCCTGGCTTCGTTCCTCCCGCCCTCCTCTGGCAGTGAAAGCACCCACCCACCCTCCCCCCCGAGGTGCTGATGCGTCTACTCCAGAAATATTTGCAGGGTTAATGCTTCCATCAGGGTTTGCGGAGGATCCCCGCGGGGGCGGGCGCGGGGGCTGGCGCGGGGGCGGGCTGTGTGACTCAGGAGCCGCAGGGATCCCACTGTCCCCAGTGCTAGGAACTGAGGCGGGCTTCTGGAAGAATCTCTGGGACTCCCCAGGACCCCGAGGGCTCCGCTCCCCCCTCCTCCCTCTCCCCTCCAGCCACCCCCGCCCCACCCGGAGGCCTCTGCGGGGGAGCCTGGGGAGCACCGTGAGAACCGCGCGGGGGAGCGGAGCGGGGTGCCCCCTTATCCGGCCTTTGTGCCCGAATCGCAGCGCCCCTCCCCGAAGCTGGAGGAGCGCCCGCGCCCCCCCCACCCCCGGCTCCCGCCCGCCCCGCTGCAGCCCGGGCGCTCCCAACGCGCGCCCGCGCCAACCTGGGCGCGTTCCTCCTTCCCCGGCTCCGGCCTCCACCCCTCCTGGGGGGCAGGCGGGGAGCACGTCCCCCTCCCTGCGGGAGCCCCCCGCCCCCACGCATCCCCGCGGTCCGAGCGGGGCGGGCAGAGAGAGGAGGACCCCCGCGGCCCCGGGTGCTAGAACGGCGGGGCGGTCGGGAGATGCTCTCCCCGGGAGTCCCCCCGATGCCCACTCCGGGCTCCTTGCAGCCCCGGGCTCTCGGCTGGGGCATGACCTCAACCTTCTAGCATTCGAGGCAGGTAGGGAGAGGAGGGGCGAGGAGCCGCCCGTTTACCGTTGGGGAGACTGACTCAGAGACAACCAGGCGGAGGGCCGCGCTGGGGCGGGGGCTGTAACGGGAATTCTGGGCTCCGGGCCGGGGCGGAATTTAATTGTCTGCAGTTGGGGGAGCGTGAAAGTGCAGTACCGACCGACGGCGGGTCCCCGGCAGCCCCCTAGATTGGGACGGGGGTGAGGTCGGGAAGGATCACTGGTAAAGTGAGGAGATGCATTCATGCAATACCAAGGCGCGCTGCATTG